GAGAAATAAAATAAAATAAATGCACATAAAACAAATATCTTAGTTCTTAAACAATAAAGTAAGCTTTGACCACCTGGAATAATATTGTTCAGATTTTCCACATCATTAGAAATCCAATTCATTTATATAAAGTGAACACATATCTTCTCTGCAGAGTTAAGTCAAGTGTAAAATAGTCTATCAACTATTTAACTCCAACCCACTCATAAAAATGTTCTTAATAATTTGATAGATTCCAAACTTTTTGATATATAATTAATAGCATATTCATATCTTTAGCATTTTTTGCCAGTATTTCAGCAACCTTATGAATGCTAAACCAGAATGGTGTTTAGAACAAGTCAGAAACATGAATCAAGGTCTTCTCAAAAATATACTTCTAACATACTGATCTTAAAACCCATAAGTCCTGGAATGTCCAATAAAAATCCTAACTTGATCAGATACTAATGAATTGTTCTCTAAAACTTTAGCTTATTGATTGCTTAAATAGAATATTCCAACTCTTTCTTCTGAATTATTTCCATATCTATCTCAGTAATAGTTTTCAGCTTTACAATACCTTGATCTTTTAAATTAATTAGTGTGGGGGAGGGGGCAGGTCTGTGATTCTCAAATGTTTTTTAAATTGGAGAGGACTTCATTCACAGCAACATCATTATATAAGTTATATTACTTGTGCCATTTTACATCATTTGTGCAATTATGCAAATAACATAACATTTCTTAAATGAAACAAGCATTTTGCTTATTATATCTGAAGTCCACTAAATTGAGATCTGCAAATACTGAGTGTAAATGTGGGATTCATAAACCTCATTCAGTTGCACTAATAGCTTGAAAGTTTCAGATGTTGTTAATGCATCAAGCCCAAATTGTCAGGTGAAGCAAATTTTTAATTAAATATATTCCCATTCAGTAGTTTTAGTCAATTCAATTTTTTGGGGAAATCATGGGATGTTGTAAAGGACTAGTTAACAGTGACCTGCACAAAAAAAATAAAAAAGATTTTTCAACTATTTCAGTTTATGATTTGTCATAGGAATTAAGATCATATTTAAATTTTCTTCTCAACATTATCCATATGTTGTAGTGCAGGGGGGAAAAATGACTTCAGGCTAAAATTTCCTGAAAATATCTTCCCAAATGAAACATCATATGGTTTTTGTTTGTTTGTTTGTTTGTTTGTATCAAGCTATCTGATTAAATCTATTCAGTCAGTTTAGAATTTACGTGTTTTAAGATCATTTACTCCATAGTCATGTCTAACAATCTTTCATCAATGACATGAACAACTGAAGTTCCTTTTGATCTTTTTTTTTAGTTTTGTATTTTTAGCTTTCATCTTAATTTTTGTTTGTTGCACTGAAACCAATTCTTGTAGATAAGAACCATTGGAATTCCCACTTGATTTGGGAATAAAATCCTTTCCATTTGCTTTTCCCAGCAAACTAACCCACATGGTTTCTAGGTTATTGTAACTTAATTTCAGCAAACCCTGCAATCATTTTTTTTTAATTCCCTTATCTGAATTGAACAATACATTCCCCCAGAGCTGAGTTCATTTACTCTGGCCTCAAATGCTGTAATTAAATTAACAGGCTCCTTTTTAAATTGCCTATACAGTTCTCTCAATAAAAGAACGTAATTACCCAATCTTGCCTCTATTTGCTACTATTCTATGTGTGTTGCCGTTTTGTTTTGTTTTTTTTTCCTTTTGAGAGCAAGACGTTACATAGAGAAACTCTTTCATTTGCTGTTTATATAACAAGTATCCTCTCGCTCTGTTCATTCTCTGGGTGCACAGCTACCAACAGCTATCACCAAGCTTTCAACGCTGTAATTTATAATATATATTTCCAGTGATATTAATGAAGCCATGTTCATTGTCATTTTCTAAAGGTTAGATCTCAGTAACTGGTAAATTGAGCAGAATAAGTAGTTTACCCCAGTAAAGTATCTGAGAGTGCTACATCTTCAGTTTCCATAGTTTCAAGGGAGGACAATTTGCAAATGCATGAGTAGATGTGGTTTGTACTGAATTAGGATGAATGCCATGTACACGGAGCTCTGCATCAGATAAATATCTTTTAGAATCATGCCATTTAAAACAGCTCCATTTATCCTGCAGGGCCTTGCTTGCTTTATTGGAATGATATCTCTTGGAAGATTTTCAGTGCTCTGTCTGCTCTAATCTCTAATCTCTTTATGGCTGATCCCTCCATCTTCAGGGTCAGGCAGTTTAAGAGAAAGTACTGCACCTTAACGTTTTGGTAGGAGGGTAAAATTAAATCCAATTAGTTCCTTGTAATAATTTAAGTGATGCATATTCTGTATTTGTGTATCTCTCTGTGTGTTGAGTATGTATGCATGCAATTATATGTATAAGACACATACAGAGAAAGAGAGGCAGAGAGAAACAGAAGAGTGAGCACAAACTTTTTCTCAAACCAATCTCCAAATTTGGAAGGGGAAAAAATGCCCCAGTCCTTAAATGCCCTTTCAAATTTTCACTTTCACAGTATGTTCCCATCTTCTCTTTATTTACATTGCAAGAAATATTGAAAACTGAAATTTTGAACGGGAAATAAGGAAACAGATTTCTCTCTTCTCTTCTTTATGCTTATGATTGATGGATTAAGGAGCATTTGAAAGCAAAACCCAATGTATTGGGGAAAGGTCTATGCATTTAAAGTGCACGTAAAGACAGAAAAAGGAAAGAAGAAGCATTTCTGGCCCTCTCATAGATCATGGCCCTTGTTACTTGAATGTCAAATAAAGGGAGGAAGTAATGTGCTTAGTAATTAGATGGTAGAATTGGATGGGCGGGGCTTTTACCCTGATAAAAACTGGGGGCACAAGCAGGTACAAACTGGGGACTTTGGAAATTCATCTTTCATTGGAAATTTTATGGTCATCTAATGTTATTGTCCAGGTCTTGATCAGGAAATCTTTCTCAAAATCACTGATCAAAAGAACAAATTGATTCATTACTTTCATTGGGAAATATGGTCAATTGGCATTCAGGCAGTGGATTTGCTCCACTTTGAGCCTTACCTAACCAAAGCATAATCATATGCAGGTGATTTCTTTCTAGCACATGCCAGGTGTTTGAGTGAGATAAGCTTAAAGTACCATTAGCTATTTTGGTGTTGATGAAGTTTTTCCTCTCTTTTTTCGATGCTCTCAACAGTAGCCTTTAGTATTGATTAGGTTTCCCTACCATTCCACTAGAAGTAAGTTAGATTTGCTCTTTCACCTGATGTAATGGTATGCAGGAATGACCTTGAGAGACAAGGGAAAGAGCCACAGCTGGGAGTATGGTCAGATAAGAGGCAATTTAGCCTACAGAAGGAATGTGGGAAGGGGCAAAAGTCTCAGAAGGGACCTTCTCTCTTGGGTTGTATCAGTGACAAGGGAGAAACATACTTCCAGACTTGCAAAATTCTGTCAATTTAATGTTACAATAAGGTAGAATTAATTCATCTGGGTGTGTTTCCTGTCTACTTGGCAAAGCTACTAGTCTTGCAAGTGTTTTTCTCTGCTGTTTCCTATATAGCCCAAGACATTAGGCAGGTCCTTTCTGAAATGGTTTGCTCTGCTCACATTTCTTCTGTGGGTTAAGCTGCCTCTTATTAGACTGAATGAGCTATATAGCTCATTCCCTGGTTTCACAAGGTCATTCTTACATATCTTTACAGTATATCAGGTGAAAGAGTGACTTGAACCAGGCAACAAAGGCAGGATATGGATTCATAACGGAGAGAGGAAAATTCATATTTACCCATGAAAAATAGATAGTGGCATTCAGTTCAGCTGTGAGGGAAATCTAGCTCTGAGGAGCAGAAACAAACTTTATAAATTGCTGGGCTTGTGTGATTTTTCCTTCCCTTTCATTGTATACATGAAAGAATCTTTTCAGGTTTTTTTAATGACCATTTGTTCTTGGTGAGGATTCTTGAGTGAGAGAAAATTACAGTTAATTAACACCACAACATGCTTTTTCTGAATACCAATCAAAAAAGCAAACTCTAGTTTGCCACAAACATTAAAACAATGCTTCTAATCTGCTTTCTACCTTCTTGAGAATAGATGACTGTTGCTTATCAGGGATTGTTTTTTAGCAATCTTCTGGAGCAGTGATTCTCAACCTATAGTCTGTAGATCCCTGGGGAGGGGGCAGAATGCCATCACAGGGGGTCCTTGAAGGCTTGAAGAAATGGTATAATTTAAATCTTGAGTTAGGACTGAAGGGTCTGTGGCCATGGTCCATGGCCATAAAAGATATTTAAATGGAATCCATGGTGAAGAAAAGATTGAGAACTGCTGTTCTAGAGCACATTAAGTGGTATTTTGAAGGAGAGTTCAGATTGTTAGAAGAGACAAAATTTAATAATGTAAGATAATATTTTTTTATTAAAGTCATTTAATCAATTCGTATTTTATACCAAAAACATTTCCTTTAAGTTGTTTATCTTCACTTAAGTATTTTATAAGATATTAAAGATCTAAATATGAGCCAGGCTTGGGTGCAAAAGAGTTTTTATACATTTCTAAATAAGTATAAATATTATGCACATCTTAAGAAGATAATTCAGTCATTGTTTTCAACAGCCATATACTTTGTAGACTTATAGCTCCATGAAAAGGAAAGAATTGTTTACAAAACTGTAAAGTAGATACCTGAGCAGGTCTTGTCATGGACCTCCTGCTTCTATGGAAATAATGGAATAGGAATATATGCCCATTAATTTTACCTATGTACAGGCATATAGATCAAGGCTGTTACTTTTAGTGAGGTTCATCAAAGCTTTTTCATGAGTTGCATTGTCTTAAAATTCTTCTACAACAAATTTCATTGAAATAAATCTCATAAATATTAATTTACCTTATTAATATTAATTAAGCTTGTTTTTCAAAAAGGGGGCTTCATTACTTTTCAAATGAAATGTTGACATGGAATGTAACTATCCTGTATTTTATTCATGTATTTGTTATAGGCACAGAAGGAGCTGTATTTGAGCATTCTGTGGAAACCCCCCATATCAGAGCTGAACCTTCTCAAGACCTCAAGTAGGTGCCTTAAAAGCAGTTTTGGGATATTACTTTGCAAAATGATTAGGCAAGAGAAGTTTCAATTTTTATTATTTTGTTCACTAGAACAGTTGAATCCTATTTGCATTCCTTGCACATCAATAAATGTCCTTGGGATGTTGATCAAGTGGAGAACATTACCCATTAGTTCCTTCAGGGCCCCATTTACAGTGAGATCATGACCAAACTGATGAAAATTGAACTCAAGGACTCATATCAGATGATTGAATTGTCTTATTCCAGATATGTTTCCAACTTACAGTAGTCTAGTTGCTATTTTTGTTTTATTGTCATTAAAAAAATAGATTCTCACCTGTAGTCCTCGTCTTGATCCAACCATCTTATATCCTGTATTCTCTTTACTCTTTTTAAAATATTATTGTTACTTTGTTTTATTATTTTTGTGCTATGTTACATTGTTATAGAGAGCAAATTTGGTCTAATTGTTTTTTTTTTCCATATAATTGTTTTAATCCTGTAAAATACAAATGAAAATAGTGGAAAAATTGGGAAAGGCATTAACTTCCTATTCTTTTCTGGGCAGTTGAATAAAAAATAATAACATTACAGCCTCAACTTTTTACTTTTGCATACTTAATATGTACTAAATTATTTCTATAACCACAAATGTGTCTAATCAGCAAATCATAAAATCAAAGTTTCTTTTTTTTTATCCTAAGCACAAAATCTAAAAGTGTTTTCCAAGTAGAAATAAAATGGGATGTGTACTTTTCTTTGTTTAGTAAAGCAGTTTAATTTGGCCATCTCTGCTAATTCCATCAGTTTTTCCAGCCATTGTTGTGGGAATTAGTATATCTTTCCATTTTTGCAGACAGAGCGTTCTTACTACTCTCAATATGTATAACAACAAAGTTCCAGAATTGTTCAAGTTCTTTGCCTGTTAAACCTAAAAGAAAAGTCTCTGGTTTGGTTGTTTATATTTGTTTTGAGTCTCTTAAAGCAGGGGTCTCCAACCTTTTTGTTTTGGCAGCCCGGTGGGAGAGGGAGGGGCAGGCGCCTTACACCCGCATGCGCAAACATGAATGTGGCCACATGTGCACATGCACATAGAAACAGGCTGCGAGCATGTGCAGCATGCAAATGGGACTGCAAGCATGCGTGCAAGGCTCTCAGTGATGGCAGCGCCTCCAGGTTCACGGCGATGCTACCATCAGCACGAGGATTGCGCCACAGCCTGCAGCAATGCCACCTTCACTCGGCTGTCTTTAGACGACCATGTGACGGCCGTGGCCAGGGGGGCTTTTCATCAGGTTCGCCTGATACGCCAGTTGCACCCCTTTCTGGATCGTGACGCTCTACGCACGGTCACTCAAGCCCTCGTTGTTTCCCGCCTGGACTATGGCAACGCTCTCTACATGGGGCTCCCCTTGAGGTGCACCTGGAGGCTCCAGCTAGTTCAGAATGCGGCCGCGTGGGGGATCCTGGGGGCCTCTAGATACTCCCATGTAACACCTCTTCTGCACAAGCTGCACTGGCTGCCTGTGGCCTTCCAGGTGCGCTTCAAGGTGTTAGTAACAACC